GTAAGCCAAGGCTGCAAAGATTTGATAAGCCTGTTAAAGAACATTTCTGTAATCATTTTTTTTAAGTAGTTGAACCGGTCAAAGAATATGTTGATGGCCGTGGCTCAGAGCCTAGAGCGAGTGTCTCGCCAAACCTCGAGTTGCCTGCCTGGTGGGGGAAGGAGAAGTGATAGCAGCCTCTCGGGCCCTTATTCTGACACCTTATTGTCAGTGAGAAATGACGTGCACAAATGGCATGTGCGGCCAGACTTAAAATAGCCCCTCGCCGATGCCCTGAGAGCGTGCGGCCTCCTTATATGTCCCGCTGCACATGCCGCTGCTGTCTGGGGGAGGGGAGCCCGTTCCCACCGCAGGTGCGGTGCATCCGACGGGGGGAATAGCGTTTCCTCTCAGGCCTGCCAACGTGCTCGTGAGAACACAACGGATTGAATGTTAGTCTGTATATTTAGGGAAGAAAAAATTGAGTACGATGTTCAAGCTGATGTTGGTATTACCATCAGGCAAGTGTGACCGGGTTTTTGTGTCATTCTGTCAGTAAAAAGGAAAGAAAGAAGCAATACTCCGGTGAGCCCTTGGCAAGCCTTGCAGAAACAGCTTGATGTCTGTCCTGGTTGCCTTTTCACATGAGCTTTCTTTATTTCTTGCATGTAGGATTGCCAGATGCTTTTAAACCAGCTGAAAGAGATCACAGGAATTCAAGATTCAGCTTTCCTTCATGCGGCTCTAAAGGTTTGTGCCTGTTGTCATTGTTCTGTGGAAAGGAGACCTCTGAATTTGTCCCCAAAGTCAGGCAAGTTCAGGCTCTCTCAAAACGTAATGCACGGGTCGGATGTTCGCTGGCGTGTCTGTGGGCTGATAATGAGCTAGTCCTCGCTAAAATAGTCGGTGCGTGGCCTGTGAAAGCGATACAGTGTGCGCTGCGTGGAACAATTTGGTTTGTGTGGGAGGTGAAGGGTAAATCCTCCCCTGTTTTTCTGCCCCTCGCTTGTGCTGCATTCAGGTGTACCGGTGAGGCAAACAGGTATGTGAGGCCAGCGCTTGTTGGTGTCAGCAGGGAACGTGCGGTTTTTGGGTTCGGTGTGTTCATCCACATCTGAAACAAAAACCCCACGCTAAGTTGAGAACAGTTCGTTTTTCTAACAGTAGACCTTAAAATCTGTGCTGCAGCAGCACGTGCTATGCTAAAACATTGTAAACGTTTCCTGGAAGTTTTGCTCCTACGGGGCTGTTATCCCTGCATTACGGTAAACACAAACTTAGAGGGTCAGAGTAGGTTTTTCTCCATGTAAACTGCTTCAGGAGTTCTGGACAGCTGCAGTAACATCGGTAGCTTTGCGGCTGGTGGTTGTCTTGCCCATCACGAGAACAGTCATCTTTGCTCCAAAGCGAAGGGACACAGGAATCTCAGGCACTTGCAGAAGCAACGTTTACCTGGAAAGATTCCTCCTCATAGTGCAAGTTTCGGTATTTATAAATTATAGCGTTAAACCGGCTGCAGCCGCATCAGTCTGGCATCATCAGACACCGTCCGTCCTCTTGAGATGTAGCAGCAGGATGTGGGCTGTGCTGAAAAATATACAAAGAGGCTTGTTTAAAGAAATTCTTGAATGTTTCAGCGAGAAGTAATGTCCAGAAAATGTTAGAATAAATTTGAAGGAGTTTAGCCCATAGTGATGGTCTGAAGAAAGCCTTAGCTCAGTAAGAGACGTATGTCTTGAAATCTACGGAGAGTTTGATTCCTGTGAGTCTCTCCCGGTGGCAAAGTTACCTGTCGTGCTTCAGGTCTCCTGCGAGTACTCGAATCTCTTGTGAGGGAAATGAAATTAGTTAATGGAGTCTATATTGTCCTAGTAAGAAAGCCAAAGTGCTTTCCGACAGAGAAATTCAAGCCTTCGTTATTTTCATTTTTTACTACTGCTTGTCACCAACAGATAGCTCTCTCCCGTGGGCCAGGGAAAGCAAAGTTGGTGGCGGTGTGCCTATCTCTACCGCAGATGCATCAACTGTCACGCAAATGTAGATGGAGTAACCCTGGCACTGTGGATTTTTTTCCCCTATCGTTCCGCCAGGCTGCTAATGGAGACCTAATGGAAGCAGTCACCTTCCTGACGGAGGAGCACGCTCAGGAGCCGGCTCAGGACGCGGCTGCTGCAGAGCCGTCCGCTTGGGAAGGGAGCGCTGTGGGCAAACGGCTCCCACGAAGTAAGTGGTGTCTCTGCTCACCCTTAAGGTTTCGCGTGTTTCGGCCTGAGCCAAAAGGGGAAGTATCGGTCCTCCCTGCTTCTGCCAGTGAATCCCTCCGGCTCCTGTCCTGGCGCTGTTCTGATTTTGCCAGTACTCGCCGCTTGCCATGGGACAGCCCAGGGAATTAAACCTTCCTGGTGAAGGAGAGCTGCATCCGAAAGGAAAGTGACTTAATAGTGTTTTAATAGTGTTTGTAGGTGATGCATCATAGTTACAAAGCTATCGGTTTTTTATCAGCTGGTCTTGGCTGACACAGAAAACCCAGAAAGCTCCTAAAGCAGAGCGAGCAGAATAGCGAACTGAATCCCTGTCAAGGATCATACATTTCTTTCCAACAGCATCTGCTGGAAGAGCAGGCAAATTAAGCGTTTCCTATCATATTTTCATGAAAACTTAAAATGTTGTTTGAGCTGGCAATTTGACTACCTGAAAAATGTTTTCATAACTCTTACAGGTGTTGGCAAAAGCGGGCCGTCAGTTTGGTACACTTAGAAGTGAAAAGTGTGATTGTAGTCTGAGGTAGTTGAGAATAGTTTCTTTAAGCCTTTTTGCTAATGACACATCTATTAACTGGAGCTTTCCCAAATGATACTGTCACCGGACAAGTTCACCAGGCCAAAAATCTGTGCTGGGAGCTTTGAAGCAACACCCGGAACAGCGCGGCTGCCCCTTGTTCCACTGTGTAAGGCTTCCACCTCTTCCAGAGCTACTCAGTTTCCTTTCTCCTTCTTTCCTACGTAGCTAGTACATGATGCTCGTAGCTGAGCATCCTGACAGGAGTGGAGGAAGGCGATTCTGTGTGATTTTATTGAAATCCTTTATTTCTTGAACAGCATCAGTTGTCAGCACTGCATTGCACAGCACAGCACATACAAGCGGCAGTTGATGTTCCTGTTCCGTTATTTCACGAGATTTGAAATGTTCCCTCAAGCTCTGAGTTTGGGTGCAAGGAAATCTGGCCAGTACACAGCTGCACGGTCTGTCCTGTTCTCCTCATCCAGCCCACTCAATGGCTTTTTAGGTTTCCTAGCATGATCCAAGCTACGAGGATTTGTATTTAAAACTTGAGCTAGAAAATTACGCTCTATCAACTGAAAAATCGTATTTGTGAGGTGTAACATTTTCTAGAAGTTCCTTTTAAAGAAAACGTTTGCCTGCTCCTGGGGGAAAACTGATCAGAATGCTGCCTCCGCTTCTAGATGTTACTACTGCACTTACCCCTAACAACAAAGATGACCTCCACGCAGTCGACGGCTTCAGACCACTGGAATCGCCAAAAGCTCAGGCTGCGGACAGAGACGCTGCTGAAAGGTCAGTGGGTCCGTAAATCGGTTTTGGTTTTCCCTGGTATCATAAGAGGATTCTTAAGCTGGTAACTGCAAAACAAACGTAAATCACCTACCGGATGTATACCTACTGCTTTTTTAGACGGTGCGTGGGGCATTATTGCCTTCTGGGTAGCTGACCGTTACTTCTGGGGCAGCACGGCAAAGTGATGGTTGAAATAGAAAAGCAGGTGTAGTTGTGGCTTATTCAAGCCCTGCTGCTGTTGCTGACGTGCCACACAAAAGGATGCTGTGCTGGCATTATGGCAGCTGTTGAAGAAGCACCTTGAAATCTCACGTGTCGATTCAGCTCGCACCAGTCCACTACGTAGCTGTCTCCTTTTTACCGTGGGTTGGATTTGCCTCCAATAATGACTGAGGGCACCAATTTTGCATGCGGCTGGTTCATGAAGAAAAACACGCATATCTTATTACCTTCTTCCATCGTTCCAAATCATCTTGCAGGCATGTTTTCCATCCACCTCACTTGAGAGTTGAAACCTTTCTGGAGTCAGATAAGACATCTGTTGCCTGTTGCGCTGGGTATCACCCAGCAGCGGCCGGCTCTGGTGCCCCGCTTGTGACTAGAGAGGAGTACGATTCCCGTACTTCTCGAGAATCGTTGTGAGATGGTGTTTTACAGCACGGTGTGCATCTTTTGTGACAGACCGCAGGAAGCGCATTCTGCTGAAAACAAAAGTCGCCCCAAAAGGAAACGCTGTGAAGTCTGGGGAGAGAACCCCAAGCAGAATGACTGGAGAAGAGCGGGTGACTGGCCCGTTGGAATGAAAAATATTGGAAATACATGTTGGTTTAGCGCTGTCATACAGGTAATGTGATAGAAAAGTTCTTCTGGAATTGCTGCGGTCCCGGAGTCAAAATGTTTCTCAGTTAGAATTAAATACGCAACAGCTCTGTGAAGTGGTCATCGTATGCAGATGAATGAATGTGACCGTGCTCAAATGAGACTTGTGTTTTTATTTGATACGATTGTGATTTACTCTGGGCATGCACAGAAGGAGCCAGAGAGCAGCTGAATAGACTTTGCCTAAAAATAGATATAGATACATATAATCTGCGTGCACCTAGGTAGGGTTTTTTTGGTGCAGCGACGTCCAAATGCTTACTGAATGACAGAAGCTTGACTGGCAAAGTGAACTGATAATTTAATTTTACTGCGGTTATTGTTGGCTCCATAATACATGGTGTATCATATTCCAGCTAATGGAATACACTGGCATAGATGCTGGAACGAATAAGCAACGAGGCAGCATGTATTATTAGCGATAACCTAAACAAGATGAGACAGCAATAAGTGGAACTGGGTAGAGTTGTCTCTTCCAACCATTTCACGTCAGGAGATAGACGTTAATCAATCATATGTCTCCAGCTTTGAGAGGAAGTAAGAAAGCTTCAAATGGGCTCCTTTCTCGCTGTGACTTGTTCCTGGATGTTTTCTCTAAGCTTGCCTATGCAGAATAGAATATTCTTTCCTAAAATGGTTATATACACCCTAGAAACGGCAGGATGAGATTTTGTTCTTTGGTGGGTACGAATGTGCTGGTCCAGCACGTAGACTGCTCACTTCGCAAATGTTTATTTGGTAACACAAGGCCATCGAAGAATTAGGAATTAACAGAAAAGCTGTTGAGTAAAAGAGTGACAACGGGGCATCAAATTGCAGTGAGTCAAATCCTCGCAGATGCTGACTGGTCTTTACCTCTCCTTCTCTTTCAGTCTCTGTTTCAGTTGCCAGAATTTCGGAGGCTGGTCCTTGGGTACTCCCTCCCACAAAATGTGCTTGAAAGTTGTCGTAGTCGCACTGTAAGTTTTCATCGAGTAACACTGTAAAGTTTCCCTCTTTTGTGGTATACTGATCTGCTCTTTCTCTAAGCAGATTTAATTTGGGGCCATCTGAGACTCCTGTGCCTACGTTAATGGCTTTCAAATTGTCAGGCTGCGTTAAAGACAGATTTGGGAAATACTTTGCAAAGACAGAACCACTGTAGAAAAAAAATCAGATGCTTCTCGTAAAGCTTTCCTCTAGAGCTTCTTTCTAACTGTGGTGCGGGGAGAAATTTGTCCCGTAAATCTTCTTTGTTAGCTCCAGCTTGTTCATTTGTTTGCCTGCGCCATAGAAGAACTGGTATTTGGGCCAGTCTGAAGGTCCCTCTAGCCCCAGTAGTTTCTGAGAGCGGTCATCAGAAGGTGCTTAAAAATTATTTAGAGAAAAAGGCATACATAGAATTATCCTTCGCATGTTATATCATTCTAGCTTGTGGCCACCGCCATTTAAGAGACTTTGTTTTACTTGCTTTCACGTGTGCTCTTGATGCTCTAAAAACCCAAAGTGCAGACAGAATAAATTCTTAAATTCACCGGGTTTTGCTTTCTGTTGTAGCAATTATTACTTTTGGCACTCTTTTCTCTAAAGGTTTTGTTTCGGTTAAATTTTTTCTCCCATGCATCCATCGGGAGACCAGATTGCTTCCAAGAAATGACACTGCATGTCTTTCTGCTTTTGTCCTTTTTAATGTCTCCTGTTTCCTTGGCTGTTAGCGTACCTCTTAAGGTATGTGCATGTAGTATTCTATTTGTTTTAAGATGCTGCTGTTTTTGAGTTGCAGGAAGGGTTTGGCTTTTCTTCTTTTTGCAATGCAGGGAAAAAGAAATATTGCATTCATGCAAGAACTTCAGTGTCTGTTTGCTTTAATGCTGGGGACACGTCGTAAGTTTGTAGACCCTTCTGCAGCACTGGAACTCTTGAGGGATGCGTTTAGATCCGCTGAAGAACAGCAGGTAAAACCGCATTAAAAAGCCTTTTGCTTTCTTCAAAACAGCACTTGCAGCCACGGCAATCCTATTTTGCTTCATCCTGCTATTACTTTCAGAGGCCTCTTCCCATGTTTGTCAACTGACAAGCAGCTGTCCCTGTGTCATTTAGGGGAAATGTACGTGCTTGCTAATTAAACAGCCAGTGTAACAGTGCTCTACCCAGTGCCATCTGGGTAGTTGGGTAGCGATCGCAATAATTTCCTCTGATCTAGTTTTCAGATGAGCAGAGTGTTCATTATCGGTCTAAATCAGCACAGCACTTCAGTTTCACACTTCTTTCAGCTGGGTAGGTACAGCAATACCAGTCGGGTTGTGTTCCAGTAGGTTTGTGAAACCAGTAGACCGTGAAAACGCTTTCTGGTTGGTATTACGTTTGACTCTCGACTTTGGTCTCTCTTCTAGCAAGATGTGAGTGAATTTACACACAAACTACTGGACTGGCTGGAGGATGCGTTCCAGCTTGCTGTGAATGTCAAGTGAGTTTTTTGTGATCTCGGGAGTTTGACCTGACACTGAGGAGAAACAGATTTTAAATGCAACGCCTTAATAAACGAGAGGGCTTTACGTGAAAATTTTGAGTAAATGAGAGTTTTTTGTTTACTGAGGATGATGCTCCTTAAGCTCGAAATATGCTTTTGGAGTGTTATATGTACATTTTCTGTACATTCGACTTTATTGCCGATATGGCCTGCAGAATAAATAGTCTTTTTAGGGTAACTCAGCAGAACCGGTGTATATGAAAGATCTGGGTTTTTTTGAACTGCATTTCCAAAGGTAGTGCTTTAACTTTTTTTTTTTCCCCCCTTCCTTGCCAGTGTAAGTGTTATAACGTGCTTTTGAGTATGGAAACAGATGAGACGCTTCCTCTGGGTTCTGTGTTCGGATAGGAAACTTTACTTTTGACTGTAGGAAGATTGCCAAGCAGAGGCTTAGATTATGGCTTGGGGCTTTTTTGCAGCCTACAGCTGCAAACGAATGTGTGCTTTTTCTTTCTGAAACAGGAGCCCTGGGGACAAATCTGAAAACCCAATGGTACAACTTTTCTACGGGACTTTCTTGACTGAGGGTGTCCATGAGGGTGAGTGAAGGGTTTGGTAGATTCACTTTTTAACTCCTTTGACTGTTTTGATTTATAGCAGTGATGACACCGGATTTTGTTGCACATTCCTGATGAAGTTGCCTAGTTCTTTAAACTTGCAAATAGTCTTCTTGATAAAATTGTCTGTAGCATTTATAAAGTCTGTCTTCTGAAAACATTCGATGCTTGCAAGTGCTCATGAATTTGAAAGCACTTGTTTATAAGGAGGCTTACCCTGACAGATGTGCATACAGAGAGCTGTATGCGGTTCGGTTCTTGCACATAGCGCCTCTAACTGGTGCTGACAACAAGCTCTTGAGTTAACCAGAGTTTTTTGTTCTCCTAAGTTAGTTCATGGGTTTTGTATCGTTTCCATCATCCAGGCAATACCTTTTCGAAGATTGAAGCCTTTGGGCAGTATCCCCTTCAGGTAAATGGTTATCGAAACTTGAATGAGTGCTTGGAAGGAGCCATGGTGGAGGGGGAGATGGACGAGGCGACAGCATCTCAGTCAGTGAAGTATGGACAGGAGGTTAGTTTTATGTTTTGTTTTTGAGCTTTTGGTTGCCTGCCGCAGAAAAATGCAACGCATATAGCACAGGGGTGTCTCAGTATATTTTGATAACGTTAAATGGCAATTGTAAACATTCCCTAAAAATTTGGGGGAAATTTTTTCTGGATATCTGGAATCGCGCATAAATGTATGTTAGTGTTACATGGCGAGACACTAGTCTTTGCTTATTTGTAAAGATGTGTTGTCCTATATAAGCAGTTTGAGGAGTTTGTTTTAAGTTAAAAAGGTAAACATCTGCTTCTGATGCAAGTGTGATAAAGTCTCTCTCTTTCTGTTGAAGCCTACCTGTACCTGAGTAGGGGGAGAACCACTGCCTCCATATTTTCGGAGGGTAAAAGTACAGTGCTTAACTCTATGGTATGCCATTTGGAATTTGTATCTTTCTCCCTATTACAGTGTGTGGTTTTTTCCTTCTCATTTTCACTCTTATCTTCCAACTGTGCTGATTTTTTTTCTCCTTTTTTTTTTTCTTTTTTTTTTTTTTAAAATCTCACGAATCACGAACCAATCATAAAATACTTAGTTGCGGCGAAGTAGAAGGCAAAGGTCTACCATTACGTTCAGCATCCTACATGTGTAAGAGCAGCTGAGAAGTTAGCTTAGAGAAAGACTGGGAAATAACATTAAGAAATTTGCAAAGGTGTCTGGTGTAGAGGGGGCAGGAAAAGGTATTTCAGTTTTATGAGAACGTCTGAAAAATGCATTGCTGTGGTTTAAACTAGCAAAGGAGAAATGAAGTCTTGGGCAGGTAAGCTCTGTCCGACTGGACTCAAATGTTTGTTTCTGGCTTTCCTAGTTCCTGCCTGAAGCTGTTCAAATGCGTTTACAGCAGATGTAGGTGAAACTGGTGTAGGCTGGTGCCAGAGACAAAGGGACGTAGGAAGCTCACCGGGCAGGTTCTTTTCAATCCAAGCTTTTCAGTTCCTCCAAATCCTTGTCTGAAAGATAAGGGAAATTGCACTAATCGTGGAGGTGTTTTAATCATTCTTTGTCTGGACGGATAGAAGGAAAAGGCTCTGGCTTTATTGCTAAGAAATGTGACTGGAAAAACTCTGCATCGTAATTTCACTTCCTAGGATGTCGTTGCTAGAGGACTGCATGGTAGGGGACATAGAGAATAGGGTGCATTTTGTCTTTTGAGAACGTAGGTGAGCGTACTGAAGCTCAAAGCATCAGTGGGGTTAACGAGAACTGATATTTCTCCTAGATAATAGGTGTGTATATCATTCCTTCTCTGTTTTTATGTTCTCTTGTTCTGAAGATTGGGCTTCTTCTCAAAAAGCTCTGCTACCTGGCCATTTCCTTCCAAAGTTTTTTTAAAATAATTTAAAAAATACACCTTCATTGTAAGTATTTCAGATCTACAAATGTGCTGTTGCACTTTGGTGTGGGGCAGATTTATTGTGGCAGGACATCTGACATGAAGCCTGCAAAGAAAAATGAGCTTAGTGTGCTCATCCTGAGTCCAGCCGGGAGCGTTGTCTGGGTGGTGCCATGCTAAGGTAGGTGGAGGCAGTGGATGCTGGAAGTATTTGTGAACCTAGGAGGAGAGAGAGGAAGTGTAAATTCAACTAGAATTTTTCTTTCAGCATAGCTCTTTGAAACAGTGTATGAAACGTAGAGAAAGTGGTTTTCTTCTCTGAATCTCCTAAATTGAATAGCCTGTAAATAGACTGGGAGAGGATAAGGAATCAGGTACTCCTTAAGGACTTGTGTTTTGTTCTTCATCATTGCATGTGACCTACATTAGAAAAGAACTCTCTTGGAGGCTCTTAGCTGACATCCAGAGTTTGTATAGTGTCTGCTAATTTTGTAAAATTCAGTGCTGGACCCGTTAATAATCCATCAAGCTGGATGCATCAGGCAATGAAAAGTAACTTTCTGAGAGCTATTACGAGGCTTTTTCACGGTAAAAATGTAAAATGGAAGCGCAAACTTTAATCTTGTAAAATTTGGCTTTCTGACAAGTCACTCCATAAACAAAATCTATACTAAATCAGTATTTAAAGACAAACAGACATTTAGCATCAGTCTAAAATCATTTAGGATCGGTCTAAAATGTGCCGTTTAGCAGTCATCTTAAAACAAGTCCCTTTGGGGGCATTTCTGCTTTTGTTACAGCGCTGGTTTACAAAACTCCCACCAGTACTGACCTTTGAACTCTCCCGATTTGAGTTCAATCAGTCACTAGGACAGCCAGAGAAAATTCACACCAAGCTAGAATTTCCCCAGACTATTTATATGGACAGGTGAGTTTTTCTGTTGTACGGTACGTTTAAAGCTATTGCTTTATTGTAATTAAAGAAATTAAAAAGGTCGTATGGGTGAGCAAGGAAGGATTCTAAAATATTTGTGAAAGATTGTGGATGTTAGAAGTCAACAAATCTCATGTGGCGGGGCTCTCTCTTTAGGTACCTCTACGGCAGTAAAGAGCTTATTCAGAGGAAGAGAGAAGAAATGAAGAGATTGAAGGAGAAAATGGTGATTCTGCAGCAGAAACTGGAAAGGTAAGTAGTCAGCTAGCTTTATTTTTGTGCCCTGTGGGAACGTGCAAATGCTTCCTTTCAAATGAGCTTTCCAATAGAAGAGAAGCTTGTAGAGGAAGGACAAACAGAACTGCGTTTGTTCTGGGAAGTGTGGCGTGAGGAAGTGTGTTTTCAAAAACAAACTCGTAATTTTGATGGTTTCTGAATGTTACTGATGCTGTTACAAGAGTAAATTCTTTAAATAGTACAATAGTCACTGTCAGCTGTGTTGGCAAGTTTCAGTGAGGAAGCCCGGTAATACATTAAAAAGAATCTATGTTATTTTTTATATTAGATGTCCCCTCCAGCTTAGCATTTGGCATTATTTATTGGGGAAGGAAGGAGATCGATAGCAAAGATCTGGTTTGTGGACAACCAGAAGATTTCATTTTCCACGTTCTTTGTGTAAAAGTCCTTTTAATCAGCATTAAATTTGCTTACAGTTTTTATTTTTAAAATGTCAGTTCTGTAAACAAGAGGCAGGCAAAGAGGTGTCGCAGTAGCCCAGGTGGTATCTGTGCTTGCTGGGGTTCTGGTGGGTGCCATGAAAACAGTTTATATTTAGGCCCATGTGTAGCATCCTATGGGGTCTGGCTGGGATGGAGGTAATTGTCTCCACAGCAGCCGGTTTGTTTTTGTGACTAAAACAGTGCTGATAGCACACCAGTGCTTTGGCTGCTGCTGAGCAGTGCCCCGCAGCCTCAAGGCTTTCAAGGTCCGCTGCGGGGAGGTGGTGCCTGCGTCCCCTTGCATCACCTGGGTTTTTCCCTTCCTTCCTTCACTGGTTAAACTGTCTGCATCCCAACCAGGGAGTTTTCTTCCGTTGCTCTTCTGTGGTCCCTTCATGTTTAACCAAACAGTCACATTCATGCAACATCTTGCTTTTTTCTGTAGGTACATGAAATACGGCTCTGGCCCGGCCCGCTTTCCGCTGCCCGACATGCTCCAGTATGTTCTCGAATTCATCGCTACAAAGCCAGTTGTTTCTTCTGCTCAGGGCTCTCAGACAACACTCTTGCAGCCCCAAGCCGAGCCTCCTGTTTTGGACGTGCTTTCACAGCCGAATGGGTTAGTAAACAGAAATAAAAATAATTCGTAGGAGAACACTTTGCCTTTCAGCTAAATGGTCCTGGTTTGCATTCTAAAATTTGGGCTCCTCACTACAAGAAGGACATTGAGGTGCTGGAGCGTGTCCAGAGAAGGGCGACGAAGCTGGTGAAGGGTCTGGAGAACAAGTCTGATGAGGAGCAGCTGAGGGAACTGGGACTGTTTAATCTGGAGAAGAGGAGGCTGAGGGGAGACCTCGTCGCGCTCTACAACTGCCTGAAAGGAGGTTGTAGCGAGGTGGGGGTCCGTCTCTTCTCCCAAGTAACAAGCCATAGGACGAGAGGGAACGGCCTCAAGTTGCACCAGGGGAGGTTTAGATTGGACATGAGGAACAATTTCTTCACTGCAAGGGTTATCAAGCCTTGGAACAGGCTGCCCGGGGACGTGGTTGAGTCATCATCCCTGGGGGTATTTAAAAGACGTATAGATGTGGTGCTTAGGGACATGGCGTAGTGGTGTACTTGGCAGTGCTAGGTTAACGGTTGGACTCGATGATCTCAAAGGTCTTTTCCAACCTAAATGATTCTATGATTCTAAAAGTGGATTGTTTATCTGAGCACTTGTGAGCATGATGCTGTAATGTATGAATGCCTGTGCAAGTAGTCAGTCGCTACTTTGCTCCTAATTTGGTTCTGTTTGTGTAAATGTAACATTGCATCTAGTCTATTCTTTTTCCTTTTCCAAAAGCATCACCATATTCCTTGTCTAAGCAGCAATTCTGAGTTAAATTATGTGCTCTTTTTGGTTAGGCTACTAATTTTTTTGCTTCATCAACCAGTAAATTACTGCAATATTGGATTATTACAAACCTGGCCACCATGGTTGGTTTCCACTCTAAATTAAGCTGAGTAAATACATGAGTTTCTTAGTAGTAAGGGAAGGAATTTTTAGAATTGCTCATTGTGGATCTGTGCTTACAGGGTTCTGTAAGAATTTTAGCTTTTATTTGTCCTATATTTTAATTCATCTGTTAAGGTAGAAGTACATTTCAGTGTACTTGTTCTCTTTACGTTTTGTACCGTCCTGGAAGAGAAATCCTTCTCTGGCTCTGGAGCAATTTTTGCTTGGTTTATTTCATATTGTTTTCCAAAAAGAGAACAAAAAAAAAAAAGAGAGAAAGATTGAAAAACCTATCCACTACTCTTGGGTTTTGCTTCACAGCGTACTAGAAAGGAAGGACGGTAGGACTGAAGATGCAGCTTTCTTTTTGGCAAATCCCTCGCCGCAGCAGAAATCGAGTACGCGGCTCCAGCCTTCTGGTTCGCCAGCAGAAACGTCTGCATGTCCAGCTCCTCACGTGGTTTCCGAGGAAGAGCTGAACCTTGTTCGGTCGTGTCTGCAGCGGTGGAGAAACGAGATTGAACAAGATGTGCAAGGTTGGCCCCAAGTATATTTGTTGTGATTTTTCTGCTGAACGCCATCCTGGTTTCCCCTCTGTTGCTTCAACTGGATACATCCTGACCTGCGACTAATCTTGTGCAGGCTTCAGCCCTGGTGTTAAGTGTATTTGATAGTTCCTGCATGGCTTCAAACTTTTTGAAGTGAAAGGGGCCAGAATAGCCTGATGAGTAGTCCTTAGTTTTTCTGTATTTCTCTCATTCGTGATGTTCTTGGCAGATCTGAAGGAGTCTATTACCAGAATCAACCTGTCCATTGAACAAATGTACTGTGACCCTCTCCTCCAACAGGTAAGAAATGCAGCTTCGTTAGGTAAATATTAAACTGATGTTGCTGATACTGTTTTTTGTTAGTAGCTGTCAGTTTAAGTTGTCCACTTTATTGTATTTTAAAAAATCCCAATATTGCGATGAAGCAGAGAAAGGATTCTTTATGAAAATCTTGTTGCTTTTTCCCTTAAAAGTTGGTTCTCGCTTAGTAGGAAATTTACCATGTGAATCAAGAGTCTGGTACCAGGCTGCAGCTATGAACGTATTTGCAATGTTTGTACAGAGGTCAGGCAAATTCATTTACCAAAAGTATGTCTGAAAACTATGTCCGTGTGAACTTGCAGGTTCCCTATCGTTTGCATGCAGTCTTGGTACATGAAGGGCAAGCAAATGCTGGTCACTACTGGGCCTACATATACGACCAGCCTCGAAAAAGCTGGCTGAAATACAATGACATCTCAGTGACGGAATCATCGTGGGAGGAATTGGAGAGAGATTCATTCGGAGGCTTGAAGAATGCCAGTGCCTACTGCCTGATGTACATAAATGATAAGGTGTCCCGCTTTGTTGCAGGTACTAGAGCCAAAACTGCTGGTTAATTAGACATTTGTGTATTATTGTGTCTCTCTAGCCTGCATGATCGTTACGTTCCTCAGCTTCTCTTTGGCACAGTTGTCTTTTGACTACACAAAAAACTTTACCCCAGATAGAAGTGAAATAATTTGCTCTGTACTCGATTCATCTCTAAATTCCTGATAGGGTCGAAAACTGAAGAAAGAACTGTACTGGTGAGATTAGGTACGGTACTTTATGTATTATTAACGTGTGTGTAAATATTCAAGCTCCCCATTTGCCACTTTCAACATGCATCTACTGCTGGTGTTTTTCACTTTGACTTACATAGTTTATATGACAGTGTTTCTTTTATAAGGGCATGTGAAACACCTCCTACTTTATTTCTCCCATTTTTATCACACTTTCTGACTTATTGGCTTGGTTTTTAGTGATATCGTTATATTGAACCTAAACGGGGCTCCTTTTTTATGCAGCCTTCCCTAGTGCATGAGTTATTGGTAACAGTGGCTTAGGCTTGCAAGTATGTTTGCAGTGCCAATGTATAAATAGTTATGTGGAGAAATTATTGTGCACGTGGCACTATACATGGCAAACAGCTGTAGAAGAACCTAATAATTTCACGCGTGGTTCATTTTGATGTAATAAATAGAAAGAAACAATGGAGAACTGTCATTCTGTTCATTGCTAAATATGGCTGATGAGGATCTGGAGGTTGTTCTTTGTCTGGCTTCCTATGACAGTTCCGTTTCTGAAATGAACCCGTGATTATTTTTTCCCCCCCTATTTAATGCAATTTTTGTTGGTTTTTTTGAAGATGCTTTGCTTTTACAATGGGTGCGTAAGAAGTATCTAGTGTAGAGAATTGCCATTTGCTTTTGATAAATTTTAAGACTTGTCTAAAGCTGATACTACTTGGGTTTTGTGCTATTTTAAAACTGAATACTGAAGTAGATCTAAAAAGTGCTGAGGAATACCAGCATGACACTCACTCTATGGAATCCGTGCAGTTTTCTACCTTTATGTGCTATGTAGTGTTGTAGATATGATGTCTCCAGCTGAACTGTGAATTTTCCGACTATTGGCTGTGTAAATACTGTTCTCTGTACAATGGTAGCCCTTGAATAAGGATGTATTTCTGACCTACTGCATCAGCAGGCGGGCGCTGTTTCTGGAATTTCTCTGTGATAAATGCTGTCCAGTGGTAGAACAAAACTGGTTTTTGTTTCAGATAGCTCTGTAGATTTGTCTTTATTTTTGCACTTTTGCTTATGAATCATCTTAAATTACAAAGCTAGTAGACAGTTGGGTTTTTTCCCATTTATCCCTCAGCCAGTTTGATTGTGGGTTTCCATAATAGTGCGTATTTGTTTAGTCTCTAAGGGTGGTGTCCTGCTACTACGTGTTCCGTTATAAGCCAGTCCTGCATTTCTTCCAGACAAGGATGATGGCTCGGAGGTTGGACAGTTTCAGC